AAGGGTAGCAGTAATGCAACCCCCCTACAATAGCCTTTTGACCCCCTGCCTCCACACACAACTCCTTTTTGGGTCAGGATCCCTACACTACAACACAGTGAAATTTCAGATTGAAATAGCTGAAAACATGAAATTTATTATTTTTAAAATCCTATGACCATGAAATTGACCAAAATGGACCATGAATTTGATAGGGCCCTAATTATAATACTGCAGTACAAGATTTCTGCATGAGAAAGTACTTCTAGTATTTAAATGTCCATAAATTAGCTATAACCAATCTACTGTTCTAAAATGCACTGCTAGGAGGTATGTATCAAACTTTTCTACCTGAAAGGAATAGTCTGTTTACATCTAAGCCTTAATATTTCACTAAATGCTTTAGATTTAAAAAAAAAAAAAAGAGACCAACATTTCAGTATAGACCTTTTAAGCAAATCAATGTTTCACAGGAAAAGGGAAGGTGAAAAGTACCCAGTCAGAGCCTCTCTGAACAATTTGGTCAGCTACAATTCTGATTTTTTTTTATTATTTTTTTGTAACCATAAAAATTAGTTCATTTTTTCTACTGTGTTTCAGATTCAGGAGCACCCACCCAATCACATTTCTAGAAGATCTGGAAACAAACCTAACCTGATCTGCAGATAGAGTCAGGCATTTTGACATCTAAATGATCTACACTGTCAGCAAATATTTGCACCTGCATGAAAAATGAGGCCTAGTTAAGGTTGTGTTAAAAATCAGACCCTTTACATTATTACTTGATTTATTCTTAACTCACTCTGGTGAAAGACACTGATCTTACAGCTGACATATGCCACCTTCTGGACAAAGATGCTATAGCTTTATTAACGGCAAAAGAAAATACACAAACTGTCTAAATGACAGCCAGCAGTTCTGTTGAGAAACAGTAAAATTTGAAAGCAGCAGGTTTTCCTGGCTACAGTGTCTTCATATAAGTAGGCTTGCTGCTGTAATTTCCTACAGTAAAAAAATCCAGTATTAACTCTAAAAATGATATTATTAGTCTGTAAGTAGAATTCTCTGAATATACAGCCTCCCAGATCTACACACTAGGAGAAGTTAAAGCAATTAACATGCATTAGAGAGCATAAAGAAAGTATGTAGACTTCATAAGCCCCTGACTGCTTTCCTGGAAAAAACAAGCAGAGATGGAAGGCAGGAGAGTGTACATCTACAGAAGCAATATATTTTTTCACTATTTCTGAGAGCTGGGAAGGGCAATGAACCCGTAGGTTGGGTACACTTTTTTCTCTTCCTTTATATATTTTCCTTCAATTTTTCCACTTTGGGAAACTATTGAGCAGGAATCACTTTGAAGGTAAACCGATCATGTCTGTTTAAAGAGACTGCCTTATCCAACAAGCTCTGTCACCTTAGCCTCTGGGTTTAAAACAGTAACGTTGGGTAAAAATGTGAAGCGAAAGCCAAGTGGCACAGCAGTATAAAGTATACTACAGAAAACAATGCACTGGCAGGGAAATTAATTGGATGATGTAAATGTCTTTTCCATCTTTAACTTTAATTCTTATGATCTCTGCAAAGCTCATTAATAAGAGGCAAACGTTTCTGGGAAGCCATCAGAACTCATAATAACTCTTCTGGAGGAAGCAATTTTACTTTTGTAGCATGGTTTGATATATCCTTCCGTTCATTTAGAAAGCTGCTGTTTGGAAATGGTCTCTCTTTTTGGACCCTTCCCCCAAAGCCAGAAAAACACCACTACTACAAAAAAAACCAAGGGTTTTTTTTTTTAATTAAATTGCTTTTTCAGGTAAAAACACCTCCTCTTATATTCAAGCAATGAAGGCAGCATGACCCTTTGAAAACTAGATCCTGCTGAATATCTGAAACTGCTTTATGAAGAAAGTTAAAAGGTTGAAGGACCATCTTATCCTCATGGAAAACTAGAGAACAGATTCATGTATTTTCAGGCCAGAAGAGACTATTATCATAATCTAGTTTAATTTCCTGCAGAATAAAAGTAATAGAATTTCACCCAGTATTTCCTGCATTACATCCAACAACTTGTGGTGGAATTAAGTTATATCTGTGAGAAAGACATTCAACCTTGATTTAAAGAATCCAAAGTGATGGAGAATTTACCACATCCCTTAATAAGCTATTCCAATAGTTGATAACCCTCACTGTTAAAAGCATGCCTTATTTCCAGTTTTTAAAGTTTGCTATCTTCAACTTCCAGCCACTAGATCTTGTTATGTCTTTGTACAAGAAGGCTCTTAAAATCTAGCAAAAATAAAATCTTCTACCTGTTCAGTAATTATGAACTGTGATCAAGACAGCTCTTAAAATCTTCAGTTTAAGAAACTAAACAAATTGAGTTCCTTCTGTCTCTCGTTGTAAGATATGTTTACAAGACCTTTAATCATTCTTGTAGCTCTTCACTGAACCCTCTCCCTACTTCTCAACATCCATACTAAAGAGAATTAGACTTCAGGGCCTGAAACACTTCTCTTTATTGTAGCTTTGGGGAATGGCAAACACATACCATTTTTGTTGAAAAGCTGCATTTTCAACATTTAAACATCTTAATTCATTATAATCTAAACAAAACACTGAAAGGCAAAGGGAACTTCCAAATTCAAGCTAAGTTATAAATTATTGATGAACTCATTTAACACTCTTAAGTGGAAATGTGAACCCAGGATTCCACTAGCTGAAAAATAAATGCAGTGGTAGCAGACACTTTCTGGCAGAGGTAATTGCCCTGAAAGCCTATCTTGAATGAAAGTAAAATAAATTCTCATTTATGGGTTTAAATGGAAAGCCCACCATGTTACTAAAGGTTAAATTCAGATCTCAAGAATGGATAGGAACCTGACACCAGGAAAAAGATTGAAGAGATCTTTGGAAAAAATGCTTTACCAGCAGGTGAATAAATACTGATTTACTGTCTACTGTATTAAGGAAGCACCTATTGCTACAAAATATAATTTATAAACCGTTTGAAAGATATTTGATTAATGAAATTAATGTAACTAAAGACAAAAGACTGCATAAAACTAACTGGTAGACAAAAGAAGAACTTTATTCCTAACTCAAATGGAAAATATTTCATTTTTACGTTATGAGTCCAATTCTACTTCCATGGAAGCCAATGGCTAAATTCCCACTGACTTAAATGGGACCAGTGCGGACCCTGTATCTCTCCCTAGTTAAAAGTTTGGAAGACTCTAAGGAATGTAATGGACTTCCACTGAAAGGTAGATGAGGCCCAAAAACCAGGTTTCTATCCATCTAGTTCTTATCTTTTTGGAAGCAAATGTCAGGTTTCAAAAGAAACAAAGAACAGAGGAAAGGAAAGAAAATGTGTCCGTGGGGAGAGGCATGGAAAGGTATTAATATTTTAGTCTAGAAAATATTTAGACAAATCAAAATAAATTTCAACTTAAGTTTTTTTAAGTCCCTTGACTGGTTGGTTGGTTGGTTGAGGGCTTTGGGAAACGTACAATATTTCATTAACAATGTAACAGGTTTGGGAACCAGTGTTTCTCACTTTAATCATAGCTGCATGTTCTGGTCAATTTCATTTATCCACCTGACTTCAGAAATATTTTACAATTTTTCAGTCAATAATAGTTGTGAAATTCCCTCACACAGCTTCTCTTATTCTCCAGTGATGGGGCACCTTCTTAGCTGGTATAAATTGTCATAACACCACTGAAGTCAATTTACACCAGCTGAGAACCTACCCCATGACATTAAGGGTAAGAGTTCTCTCCAATACAAGCCAACTTCCACATGCTGTGGAATAATGACTGTCTGTTACCCTTGACACATCCCAAATTTGACACACAAAAGTTGCCCACTAAAGTTTGTAATCTTACTGGTGGGCTTACTCTTCATGTAAACAGGATCCTCAATATTTCTTTCCCAAATCAGAACTCTAACCTTCTATAGATCTACACTCCATATTCATTTTCTGAAAATGCAGGCAAATGGCCAAATCTAGGACAAGCCCAAATTCTGCAGACTCTCCCCACCTACACCCATAAATTTTATCATTGATCCCTCAAACCTATGTCCCACTCCTTCTCGATCACCCATGTGTTGCATACTGTTAAATACATTTCTGATTTAATTCAAACTTTAAAACACTAATACTTGTCACTCAACTAATCTCTCTCTCTAACATCTAATGTCACATGTGGCTACCCACCTCCAACTCTGCATATTATTCAACAATCATTACATATTAAAAAATAAAATATATACAGATAAACAGCCATATGTACTATTGCCTAAAGCAAGCACCCAAAACAATCCCAAATGGACTGAAGATATTTTTGCTCTGCTACAATTCTACTCTTCCTTTATTCGAAAATCAGTTTAGTTAAGCTATTTTTTTTCAGTCCTTTAAGACAGGTTTCACTGAAGTACTTGTGGCTGACATGAATCAATAAATCCTTAAGGGCCAAATTCTGCAGTCATTATACACTCACTTAAAGTTCCCATTAAGTCAATGGGAGTTTTGCCTACATAAGGAGTAAAGACTGCAGGATTTGGCCATATTAAAACAGGTATTGGAAAACATATGGTCATGTAAGTAGGCAAGCATTAGCAATCAGCAGTGATAGGGCCAGACATAGTGTGATGAGACCCTATGTATGTTTCTCCATAACAGTCTGCTAATACTTCTTGTGACTTCCAAGATGCTTTTTTTTTTGTTAATAGCAGCACTGGATATGGAAATTAAAGTCACAGAAGGGAGAACAATTCTACATAAACCTAAAAGATACTGCTTGCTTATGCAAATAATTATTTTCCAATACAGTAAATTGGTTTAATTAAGGAGATTTTTTTTCCCCTACTCATGCCAGGTTCCTATCTTTTATGATTATCAAAAAGATATATTCATTTCAAGGTGAAATATCCTGACCATAGATATAGATATATAAAAAATGTGTTTAAATTGGAAAATAAAGTTTCTAGCTTCTTTCAAATTAAAGGAAACTTACCTGAGCCTGGAGTCTTTAAAGGTATCTAGGTATGAAGGATAACTCCACCCAATTTTATTCCCTTTACATCGTAGTTCTATGTTCTGCCCTGCAGGCAGACTCAAAGTGGCAGCAGGTTTCTGGAAGCGGCCTTTATCCATCACTTGGATCATTATGGATTGGGATTTTGTGGATGAGTCACTGGATTCTCTCTCCTTTAATTTAGGGAGTTTGGGCTTCATTTTTTTGTTGGCAGGTTTAATTTTGTTTTCTCCTGGTTCCTTTGGACGCTTACTCTTTGCAGGTTGTCCGGTAACTAATAAAAATGTGAAGAAAAAAGCAATGTGTTAATGATGATTTTCAACGAGCAAAAAGTTATAATTATCTTTGAAAGGTTTCTTCTCTGCAAGTGTCTATAATAACTACATTCTTTATGTAAAATTAGTTTTCCCTCCTGGAAGTTCACCTTGATCAGCCTTCATACAAGGAAAGCATAGAAAAATTGATTGGGGTCATAGAATTCCAAACTCATATGGAAATTTAAGTATTAAACCACCCAATGTCACATGTTCCAGAAAAATACAGACTGCTCTTAATATTTAGGTAAATCTGTTTCTGTGTGTAACACAATTAATAGGAATAGACAAATAAATGAAAGGTATCAGAACTCAATGTAACATGGGAACAAATACCTTTGTCTCAGATAATTTCAGTCAAAGCTGTCAGTTCAGTCATGCACTTAGTCATGTGGTGAATTGAAAGTAAGTCTTGCATCTTAAAATAGGTCATCATATGTGGCCATCCACTCCTACACCTCTGTATAATTTTGCAGACAATGTGTGTTAAAAGAAGGGTGCCACATAACAAATATCAGGAAGTTTACAGATCACTGCTGATTTTTTGGTGCATTTGTTAAATGGTGGTGAGTTTCTTTATAGTGATAATACATTTGACATTTAAAAATCTCCAAGGCAACTGCTAGATTTTTCAATAATGACAATCAATCATGGGTGCCCAACTGGAAATTCTTAGGACTTGATAGAGAACCTAACACCTTCAGTTCCTATTGACTTCAACTGGAGTTGTGGGTGCTCAGACCTTCTAAAAATAAGGAGTCTCAAATTGAAGCATCCAAAACTGGTGGCCAGTTTTTAAAGTGTCCACTTTCAAGAACATTTCTGGACTGAGGATGTCTGGTCAGTAAATATTAATCTAATGAAATAAACAAAAACTTGAACCATAAGCAAAGTCAGTAAAAGTGCACAGCAAATCAAGTCAGTGGGGAGAAAAAAAATAAAGAAACACCACACTGTGGTACTGCCCTTGCTACCTTCAAATCCCTTCTAAAAACTCCTTCTGCCACAGCGCTTAAATGAAGTGGGGATCGATTATTAAAGCAACCAAAGCCATAACATAATCACAAAGAGGGGGTACATGCCTTACAGACTCAATCTTGCAAAAATTGCACTACTCACACAAGTTATCCTGTACATAAATGATTGCAGGATTGGGCCTTTATTGTACAGCCACATGATTTTATTGTCACTTCGTCTGTTTATGAAGCTAACTTTTAGTGGCATGTTCAGTTTAGGTTCTAATCCTGCAAACACGTGAATAACTGAATAAGATACTCTCATGAACAAAGTCACTCATGTGTGGAAGTATTCACAGGAGCAGGCCCTCAGTTTGCATGCTTTCAGCATCATAGAATATCAGGGTTGGAAGGGACCTCAGGAAGTCATCTAGTCCAACCTCCTGGTCAAAGCAGGATCTAATCCCCAACTAAAATCAGCCCAGCCAGGGCTTTGTCAAACCCGACCTTAAAAACCTCTCAGGAAGGAGATCCCACCACCTCCCTAGGTAACCCATTCCAGTGCTTCACCACCCTCCTAGTGAAAAAGTTTTTCCTAATATCCAACCTAACCCCTCCTCCTCCCCTCCCCCAATGCAACTTGAGACCATTACTCCTTGTTCTATCATCTGGTACCACTGAGAACAGCCTAAATCCATCCTCTTTCAGGTAGCTGAAAGCAGCTATCAAATCCCCCCTCATTCTTCTCTTCTGCAGACTAAACAATCCCAGTTCCCTCAGCCTCTTCTCATAAGTCATGTGCTCCAGCCCCCTAATCATTTTTGTTGCCCTCTGCTGGACTCCTTCCAATTTTTCCACATCCTTCTTGTAGTGTGGGGCCCAAAACTGGACACAGTACTCCAGATGAGGCCTCACCAGTGTCAAATAGAGGGGAATGATCACGTACCGCAATCTGCTAGCAATGCTCCTACTTATACAGCCCAAAATGCCGTTAGCCTTCTTGGCAACAAGGGCATACTGTTGACTCATACCAGCTTCTCGTCCACTGTAACCCGTAGGTCCTTTTCTGCAGAACTGCTACCTAGCCACTCGGTCCCTAGTCTGTAGCAGTGCATGGGATTCTCTGCACTCGTCCTTGTTGAACCCCATCAGATTTCTTTTGGCCCAATCCTCTAATTTGTCTAGGTCCCTCTGTATCCTATCCCTACCCTCCAGCGTATCTACCACTCCTCCCAGTTTAGTGTCATCTGCAAACTTGCTGAGGGTGCAATCCATGCCATCCTCCAGATCATTAATGAAGATATTGAACAAAACCGGCCTTAGGACCAACCCTTGGTGCACTCCGCTTGATAGCGGATGCCAATTAGACATGGAGCCATTGATCACTATCCATTGGGCCCGATGATCTAGCCAGCTCTCTATCCACCTTATAGTCCATTCATCCAGCCCATACTACTTTAACTTGCCGGCAAGAATACTGTGGGAGACCGTATCAAAAGCTTTGCTAAAGTCAAGGGATAACACATCCACTGCTTTCCCCTCATCCACAGAGCCAGTTATCTCGTCATAGAAGGCAATTAGGTTAGTCAGGCATGACTTGCCCTTGCTGAATCTATGCTGACTGTTCCTGATCACTTTTCTCTCCTCAAAGTGCTTCAAAATGGATTCCTTGAGGACCTGCTCCATGATTTTTCCAGGGACTGAGGTGAGGCTGACTGGCCTGTAGTTCCCTGGATCCTCCTCCTTCCCCTTTTTAAAGATGGGCACTACATTAGCCTTTTTCCAGTCATCTGGAACCTCCCTTGATCGCCAGAAATTTTCAAAGATAATGGCCAATGGCTCTGCAATCACATCCACCAACTCCTTTAGCACCCTCAGATGCAGTGCATCCGGCCCCATGGACTTGTGTTCGTCCAGCTTTTTTAAATAGCCCTGAACCACTTCTTTCTCCAGAGGGCTGGTCACATTCTCCCTGTACTGTGCTGTGCTGCCCAGTACAGTAGTCTGGGAGATGACCTGGTTTGTGAAGACAGAGGCAAAAAAAGCATTGAGTACATTAGCTTTTTCCACATCCTCTGTCACTAGTTTGCCTCCCCCATTCAGTAAGGGGACCACACTTTCCCTAACCTTCTTCTTGTTGCTAACATATCTGTAGAAACCCTTCTTGATACTCTTAACATCCCTTGCTAGTTGCAACTCCAAGTGTTATTTGGCCTTCCTGATTTCATTCCTGCATGCCTGAGCAATATTTTTATACTCCTCCCTGGCCATTTGTCCAATCTTCCACTTCTTGTAAGCTTCTTTTTTGTGTTTAAGAGCAGCAAGGATTTCACTGTTAAGCCAAGCTGGTCGCCTGCCATATTTACTATTCTTTCTACACATCGGGATGGTTTGTTTCTGCAACCTCAATAAGGATTCTTTAAAATACAGCCAGCTCTCCTGGACTCCTTTCCCCTCATGTTATTCTCCCAGGGGATCCTGCCCATGAACCATATTTTTACTTGTCTCAAGAATGATGCACAATTAATCCATTTTGCTTTCTGTAAGACCCCTTAGGTTTAACCTCCTCTCTGCACTGATAAGTGTCTTTGTCGGTCAATAACTAATGCATGGATAGTCACACTACTTGTACTGACATCGTGACAAATACTGTGCCAACAGGAATCTTTTGGGAGAGGTGCTTGGTGATTAGAAATGAAGCCCCCAGCCTTCACGACTGTTGTGTCTAAGGTCTTATCAACATGGGGAGGTTAATCCAGTTTTACTATAGTTTGTTCTCATTAAAGTGCCTTGTATCCACAGCCTGTACCACATACCCATTACAGTAACCACGTCCCCTGAAACTCTGTACTTTGTGGGCCTCCATCAAGCTCCTGGCTTGATTGCCTTCTTTGGAGACCTGCATATTCCAGTCCCACTGGGAGAAGAGTCACCAGAATGCAGACATCTACAAACATTGTGGGCAAATGAAGGCACTGAGCCGGTCCCAAGGCAGAGTCAAACCAAAGGTGCTCAAGCAGAAGACAGGAGACAAGGACAAGACCTCTAGTAATGCTCCCACTATTTGCCCATACTGTAAGCACCTGGTCCACATTTTTTGCATGTGATGCCACCACTGCACTCAAAACAGCAAATGTGATCCTGGGATGCATAAACAGGGGACTCACGTAGGAGCAGAAGAGGTTGTTTTACCTCTGTATTTAGGACTAGTGTGGCTGGTGCTGGAATACTGTGTCCAGTTCTGTGTCCACAATTTAAGAAAGATATTGATAAATTGGAGAGGGTTCAGAGAAGAGCCATGAGAATGATTAAAGGATTAGAAAACACACCTCACAGTGATGAGCAAAATAGATTGAGCTCTGAATCTAACAAAGAGAAGGTTAAGGGGTGACTTGATTACAGTCTACAAGTATCTACATGGGGAACAAATCTTCAATCTAGCAGAGAAAGATATAATAAGATCCAATGGCAGGAAACTGAAGATAGAAAAATTTAGACTGGAAAGAAGGCATAAAAAAAAATTTAACAGTGAGGGTAATTAACCACTGGAACATGGTTAATGCATTGTGATGGATTCTCCATCTCTGACAATTTTCAAATCAAGAGCGGATGCTTGTCTAAAAGATATGCTCTCGGGACTATTTTGGAGAATGTCTGTGGCCTGGGTTGTACAGGAGGTCAGACCTTCTGGCCTTGGAATCTATTAAATTATGTGGTGAATAGTCTTCCACAAAGCACCCTAGATACCATGGCAAGCACTCAACATACCATGTAGATCATGCAGTCAGACCAGGAGGAGGCAGCCAAGATCATGTGAATTGGCAGATTACACAAGAACCATATGAATACTGCCAGCCTGAAACTGTAGTAGTAGTAGTATGTGCTGTATTACAATACAACCATATATGGGAATTTAAACAATTTCCCCCACCCCCATGCACTATGTTGGACAGATCTAGAAGCCTCTCTCCACCTGCATGGCTTTTATCACCCTCTTCTTCTTC